CACGAGCTACCTCCCTCGTGTACATTGCAACATGAACCTGCAATGGACGTGATGCTTGAATTAAAGAAAAAAAATAATAAAAAAGAAAAAGAAATAAGAAATACCGGTTCATTAACGTTCAGTCGAATCTACGATTTCTTATTGATTTTATTTATTATTTTTGTCTAAATAATTTTCTTCTTTGTCACATCATCATTATCCTAATTTGTTTTTTTTTTCAAAATAGTAATATTGGTAAATTCAAATTTTTTCTCTTTCTTTCTAACTTTGATCAAAAAAATCTTGACCATCAATCGATCATCTGAAAAATACTATTTATCAATCTTGAAGAAAGCTCGTTTAAATTGTCTTGTAATTCTCCTAATTTATAGTTTTAATTTTTCAGAAAAAAAAATGTTCAATAGAAGAAAAAATTTCGAGGAAAATTTCATTTTAGAATCTATATATAATTACAATAGATATTTCGAACTCCGTTTTGATTGCAATTTTCAATTAATGTACGAGTTTTATTATAATCATTATCATCGACATCATTTTATATATTCTAACATATATTCTAACATAATCTCGCTAATCATATCGATTGCAAGTGTAATGTTCACCGAATTTAATATCAAAATACATAGAAATATATTAAAATATTTCTAAAAAATGATTTTTACATTTTAAAATAGTAAATATGTATTTAGAAACTCGATTAAATTTTAAAAATAATTGGAAAATAACATCTCGTTACAATTTGCTTATTTTTAAATTTTAAATAGAGAAATTTGTCTCCTACGAAAAAAAACAAAATTAAAAACGAAATACGGTAATTTAATTTTATTTTTGCTAGTGATTCCATTTTCAAAATTGATTTTTTCATAAACCAAGTGTCCGTGGCTTTGCTACCACCTTGAACGTGGCAAGGATGAGGATGAACCTGTTCGAGGACGAGAGGATTATACCATCTCATGGTAGCGAGGATGTAGGGCGAGCCTAGGGATTCTACCTGGGGTTAACCAACATTTACATAGGCACGAACGTACACTGAATAACAATGCTTGAAACGGAGCTAAAACCAGCTGTGCCGTTTCACCGAGACAGCACGTTCGTCCTTCTGTTGAAGCATATCCTTTTGCAGAGCGTTCAATTGCACTATGTATTGAACTTGCATAGAAATTAAGATGAATGAGCAAAACTTTGTTAATTGAAATTTAAGAATTTTGAAATTTCGAGAAATCATCTATTTTTATAAAATAACATAATTAAATACTGGCCTTTGTTATCATTATTCGATTTAATTAAATTTGATAACTTTTTTGTTCAATTATTAATTGAGCATTTAATCCAAATCCAAATCAATAAGTGTACATTAAAAAAATAAAATAAACTGTTTTTTAATTAATTGTTAAATGTGAAAAATAGATTATAGATTTCTAAAGAGAATAATATTCGAGATCATCAAAAAAGAAAAATCAATTAAATATTATTTTCATGTACCAATTAGATAATTATATTGCTGCAAACAAAGTACTCTAAATCTGATTAATCAAATACAATTCAATTATTTCAAAAATATCATATTGAAAACGAAAATCAAATCATATCATTTTCTACTAACATCCTACTTACTTTTGATGATGTCATTTTTAAAACAATTCAATATTCGTTATCAATAATTATAGAAAGACAATAATTCATACAACTAATTCATACATACATAATTCATACAACTAATATTATTAATGTATAATCAACTTTTTGAAATAAATTCATTTTATAAATATATAAATATAAAAATAACATCGTAAACTAAACATCAAAAAGGAATAATAAGTAAATCGTATTAAAATTCTAATTTTATTATATCACAATAAATTTATTTTTCATATAATTAGAGATAGGTATTTATGATATACTATACAATGTAATGTTTTGAAATCAATGTTATTTTAGATTCACGCGCATCATATTCTCTACGACATTTTATTTACTATAGTTAAATGCAAAGAATGTAACTGACCTGTCCACTTATCAAGAGCATTATAGCGCGCAGCACATACTGATTTTTTATCCAATTCAAGTACTTGGTTCACCTATGAATAGTTTATGAAAAATTAAGAAAATAAAATATTTTTGAATGATAAATCGTATTACCTGATCAATTCGACCACGAATTGTACTATCCAAAATACAAGATACTAAAAGACTTTCAACCTCTGATACATCAATATTTAACTCTTTACTTATAAAAGGAATATAAATTCTAGTGTATGGTTTAATTAATTTGATTAAAACCTATAAAGTCATATAAAGAGATTTTAGATATGGATTTTCTAACTTTAAAACGTATAGTATGCATATGATATATACCTGTGTGCGTATATTACGTAATAAATCTTCGATATGCTCTCTTATAAAAGGATCATCCATTATGTTATTTCTGTTTTGTTTTAAAATTAATTCAAATTGATTAATATCATTATTTTGATAACTGACTACTAAATTTGTCATTGCCAAAATCTCTGGATCATTTTTATATGGCTTTGCCTCCTGAGAGTCAAATGGATTAATACCAGATTTCATGAGCCTATTTATATATATATTTAAATATTAGCAATAAATTATAGAAGTAAATCTATCTTTATTTATTTTATTTCTTTACATACTTACATGTTTGCTAAAACTAAATATTTTAAACATGTAGTACGTCTTGGTGATCCAGATTCATCATAATTTTTAAAAGCTTCAAAGAAATCAGTATGAGCTCTTTCAAATTCACCTTCTCTTAAATGCATTTTTCCTCCACATTCTTTTATATATGAACAAAAAATTTGAATTCAAATTATTAAATATTTTAAGTAATTCCTAATAATTTGAACTGTATTACCTCTAATAACTCCCATTATTAATGGATGTGGTATAGCACTTTTAATATGTAAACTCTGTTCATATAAAGTTTTCAATTTCTTATTGTTTTTTTGTGCAGTATACATTTGTATTTCTAATGCATAAATTTCTAAAAGTTGTGTTCCTTTTTTTAAATCATCCTCCCCATCATCAGTCTAATTAAATGTTTTATACATATGTGTAATATTATTAACATAAACATTATATAACATAATTTATTAAATTAATTATTATATTATATTATATATATATATATATATATATATATATA